CCCTCCTCCTCCCCTGCAGAATGTCTCTAATTTAAAGTTGCCTGTTAGTTTTGTTTTTATTATTTTGTCCCCCAATCCCATATTTTGTTTCTCTATATTTCTCCTTTTAGTGAAACCAACCAATATTTTTCTTTTTCCTTTTGGCATTTCATTGAGTATAATCCCTTCTAGCTCCACCCTTGTGGCTGTGAATGGCACAAGTTTATCTTTTTTGATTGCTGAATACTATTCCATTGTGAATCTATACCACACTGATCATCTATTTTTGGATATTTGGGCTGTTTCCATATATTACCTATTATCAATAATGCTGCAATAAACATAGGGATGCAAGTATCCTTTCTGAGTTAATGTTTTAAGGACATGAAGACATTCATTAAAATTGGGTCATTTTCAATCCCTTATTCAATTCCATGCTGGCCCATTTTCAAACTCACAGTTGTTTCAAAGCTGAAAATGTAGCATTGTGTCTAACGTGGTCTATACTGAGGTTGGGCTTCAAATCTGATCACCAGGAGCCCCTTTGGCACTGGTGCAAACTTGAACCTGATTGGTGCCCACTGGAGCTCCAATCAGGTTAGTCAGTTTTCAACCCATTTTCAATTCCATGCTGGTTTCATGGGCTCCTCTGACATTAGTAGGCTTTGAAGAAGGAAGAGGGAGAAGTCTGTGTCCCTAGTTGATATAAAATATTATGAAGCATGGACAGCAAATGCACACAAGATGGTATAAGGAAACAAAACCAGGAATGGGAACTTAGAGGGAGAGGTAACAGGAAACCACCAGAAAAGGTAATGCTCTCCAGAAATCTTCAGAATACTCTGAAAGATCTTGTGCTTCCTGTAATGACATGAAATAGGAATTTGATATTTATACATTAAGAGAAAGAGTAACTCCTTTCTTTTTCCAGAGGAGCTAGAAACATATATATTATATACTTGCATAGTGTTTCACACAAAAAAATAAATAAATCTAAGAACTTAGAATATTTCCCCTTCAGGGCCTCCCTGATGGCACAGGTTTTATTTTATTATATATACATTTTATTTTATTTATTTATTTTAAAGATTGATTTTTTTGTGCATACAGAACTGGGGTACAGGCCAGAGGCTTCACCAGAGACAGAGTGGGGAGCAGAACAGGCAGATTGACGAAGTACACTGCTGAGGAGAGCAGCGGGCGGGTCAGGAGAGGTCTGCCACACCACGTGGTCACCTCCGGGGCAGGCAGGGGATCGAACTCATGTGGAAGTGGCTTTAGATTCTCAGTGCTGTGCTTTAACCCGCTGCGCCACCAGGAAGAGCCATATATATATCTTTTAAAGATTTATTTATTTACGCATAAAGAACTGGAGTATAGGCCAGAGGTGTGGGGGCAGTGAGAGGATTCACCAGAGACAGTGGGGAGCAGAACAGGCTGAGGGGAGCAACAGGCAAGACAGGAGAGGTCTGCCTTGCCATGTGGGTCACCTCCTTGCTCAGGTATTGAACTTGTACCATGCTGAAGTGGCTGCTGACAGTTTTGCAGTGCTACGCTTTAACCCATTATTCCACCAGAGGGTACCAGAGTTTAAGTCTCAACATTATCAAGTTATTACCAGCCACTATGGCCTGTGTTCTACCCCAGGCCAGGGAACTAACCCACATGGTGCAGTAGATCTTTCCTGTCTCACCCACTGCTCCCCTTAGCAGTGTATTTCAGTAGAGCCACCTATTCTGCTCCCCACTTTGTTTCTGGCGAATCCTCTTCCCCACCCCCCAACACACACACTTCTGGCCCACACCCAGCTCTTGTATGCATAAATAAATAATTTTTTAAAGAATATTTTTCCCTTCAGTGGTTTCATTGAATGATTGATAATTGAGACTATTGTCAGTGAGGGTTAAAAACTAATTGACAAAGGAGTCTGAAGCCCTTTCACACTTCACATACATACACGCTGTGTCAGAGAATGCGCCTCGCAATGTTTGGTGGGGATGAATTCTCTTTAACAGCTTATCTACTCACAACCAGTGTCAGGAAACACAAGAAAAATCTGGAATGTCACTGACCTCAGACAGCTGGAATGTTTGGGAAGCTTTTGGTGACTTGTTAAACAGTGAATAAGGTACACCATGATCTTTGCTGACCTCGGTGTGCTGCAAATAAACTGACCCATTGTTTCATCATGAGAAGCCTATGATATATCACCTTTTAAAATGGTTTTTAAAGGCAAACCTTCTGGTATTGCTGAAAGATGGAGTCAGCATGTTTTCCTACTAATAACTAAGTAAAGTAAGTTGCTATCTACTTTTGCTGTATGAGTTGAAGCAGTCAGTAGAGTCAATTCAAAACAAGAGCTCTGGAACAAATCAGATGGCAATTGAATTTTGGTTCTGATATTTGATAACTGGATGTAGCCTGAGTAACCAATGATAGACTTACAGGGTTATTGAGATGATTAAATGTGTATCATAGGACATGAGTACTTAGTTGCTAACAAAAATAGATTATGAATTATTAACAGATTATTAATAATAAACTTATAGCAAAGGTTCTACTTCTGTAAAGGTTTATCTGAAGCTTTGTAAGAATTTCTCTATAAAGATAATAACACTTTGGTAAAAGTTATCTTACATAATAATTTAGACTTTTACTGTAGAACTCTGCTTTCATAAATAACTATCAACATGTCTAAGAATCTGTATTAAATATAAAAATATTTCTCTGGTTGCTCTTCAACACTAGACTTTCTGTGAGCATGATTTAACTGACAGTTTTGTGAACATACTTGTTTTCCTGTAGAGTTGGAGATACTGGGTTAGGTCATTTTTCTGGTATTAGTGGATACTCAGAAATTTAGACCGACCCCTTTTTCTTGTTAAGATTTATTTATTTGTACACACAGAACTGGGGTACAGGCCAGGGGAGGTGAGAGGCTTCACCAGAGACAGAGTGGGGAACAGAACAGGCAGATCTACGAAGTACACTGCTGAGAGGAAAAGCAGATGGGTCAGGAGAGGTCTGCCACGCCACGTGGTCACCTCCGGGGCAGGTGGGAATCCAACTCATGTGAAAGCGGCTTTTAGATTCTCAGTGCTGTGCTTTAACCTGCTGCGCCACCAGGGAGGGCCTAGACTGACCCTTTTAAGTCTTCTAATCAAACATGTTAATATTCTAGGCACCTGACTTAAGAAAGTTGAGGCTGCCAAGATTGTTAACCCGCACAGGGATTCTTAGAGTAAGTGACTACCTTTGGTTTAATCACTTTGGAACTTAAACCAACTGATCGAAATGGCCCAAAGCAGCTTTTGTAAACAACCGACGTGTGCTGGATTGTGAGCTCCATGATACCAAAGACAATATAAATTTCACTCTTTGGGCCAAATTGGTTGGCATACTCAGCATGTGCCTTGGCCAGTTATTTGAGGACAACATTTCTAAATGGAGTATTCAAGAGCCAGAAGATGTGTGATAACAACTGAGGTCAAGATCAGCCTCTAAAAGAGGATGGGTAAGGCAGATTTCTAGATGCAGGAATAGTGGCTATCCCATGTGAAGAGATTAACACTGTTTCATCCTGTAGCATAAAGTATTTTCACTTTCAAATTTTTTTAAAGATTTATTTATTTATGCGTACTGAACTGGGGTACAGGCCAGAGGTGCAGGGGTGTTAAGAGGATTCACCTGAGACAGAGTGGGAAGCAAAACAGGCAGATCGAGGAAGTACACTGCTGAGAGGAGCAGTGGGCGAGACAAGAGTGGGTCAGCTCCCTGGCCAGGGATCAAACTTGTGCTGAAGTGGCTGTGGCTAGCTCCCTAGAGCTGTGCTTTCATGGCCTATCACTTTAAATTTTCTAATTGGTTTTCTGACTTGACTTTTTCACTTCTAGAAGTGGGCACAATTTCCACAACAATGAAATTTATCCAAACCAGGTGACGAAAGTTTCTGTGACCTTGGATGACTACATTACAGTGCCATCCTCTTATTTAACAAGGTATCAGAGTTCAAGTCTTTCACATGGTATTGGGTTTACCCTCCCAAATTTGATTTCTGCCTTGCTTTAATCCAGTAATCCTTATTAGAATACTTTTCAGCACCACCGTACCAGTCCCAGTAATGTGGCACAGCCAACCTTTCCCTCATTTTTTCTCTTCCCTCCTTTGCTTTTTCTGACACCATACTTGTTGGTTCTTCTATTCTTCTTATCATTTCTTCTCAAGTTCTTTTCCGGTCTCTAACTGTTCCCGGAGACTTTGACCCTCTTATTCTATGCACTCACACTGAGTAATGTCTAGGGATTCTTAAAACTGTAAAATACTCTGAGGTAAACAAGAAGTCAGGGACCATAACGGGAAAAGCCATGTGCGAAGCCTTAGTTTAAATTAATGAGGGAACGTGCTCGTTTTGGAGGTCAAGTTCATATTAGAAGCAGAGACCTTAAGCAGGTAAGCAACCCTGTTCTTGTTTTTGAGATAGCCTTTTATTTCTCCAAATCCATTTTACGTTGGCAACTCCAAGTGGTCTGAAATATACTTATTCTATTCACTGAATTTCCACTGGGCGGCTTGGTCGGATTGTGTGTGTGGGGGGGGAGGGGGGCTGTCCGGGTGGGGGTGTCATTTGTGACACGCTAAATCGAGTTGCGGTCCTTTGCGGTTGGTGTAGGACCCACAGCCAAATGCACTTGAGGTGGAGATCGAGATATGGCGCTATCGGCGGCTGCCAAGGTATTTCTACCGGGGGTAACAGACAACATGTCACAGGTTTAAAGCAGGTTACTTCGGTTTGCACCCAGGTTCTTCCAGAACGAGAGAGGCCGGAAGATGGCCTTAACTTTCCCAGGGGTCAGAGTGGGCAGGACTAACGGGGCCACGCAGCCGCAATAGCGAGGAGAGGGCCGCCCCTGACGTCAAACAAAGCAGCGCTCTTCAGGGGGGGAGGCGGGAGCGCGCGAGGCTCTGTCACGCAGGCGCGTTCGCGCGGCGTAGGTGGAGCTACGGGCCGCCGGGGGTGGGGGCGGGGGAATGTAGGGAGACAGCCCTGCCGCCATTTTGTGAGGTGTTTGTCGTAGCGGCTGGAGAGAGAAGACGGCGGTTTGGCGACATTTCTCGGCCCAAAGGCCTTTTGCTTTTGCGGAGGTAAGGTTTAGAGTAGGCTGGGCGGTTTCCCAGTCTTTGAGGACTGCAAGCTGGCTGTCGGAGAAACGACCGGGCTGGGGCCTCAGCAACTGGGATTCCTTCGGGGCCACAGCTCCGCTAGTGGCCTTTAAAATCTACGTTGCTCAGGTGCCTCAGTAGGCTTAAAGTTTGGGGGCAGAGGGCTTCTTTGAGGGCTCCAGCCGCTAGCATCCCAGGGCTTGTCGGACTGGCTTGAGCCAGGGGCCTGTCGGACTTGAGAGCCGCCCCTCGAGTTGATGTAGTCGGCGTTCGAGACCTGCCCGGGATTCCTGGCATTGGCCCTTTGTAGCATTTGGGGAGTCTTCTTAAGGGGAGCATATTAGAGTGGAACGCCGGCGCTTGTCAGTATGCGGAAGGCCTTGGCTGGGTGCCCAGGGCCGAGAGGGGGGCTGGGTGTCGGAGAAACTGCTAGTTCAGGTGCTGGAATTTAATCTCCTCGCTGAGGAAGAACACGGAAAGGTTCGTCCTCTGTGTGGCACTGTTTTTCCCCCTAAGGTGGAGCACACGGATTGCTAGCGCACGTTTGTATTTCTGATACTTCCGTTGCATCATTTTACCTTTGTTTAGCTAATCTTAAGGAACTTCAATAGGCGCAAGCCCGTAGTGGCTGCCACCCAGTCTTGTTTCATAGTTGTCCTTATTTGCTTGTGCCCCCTACACATACCCACAGGCTTCTTTCTTGCCACTAACTGCAGTCCTTCTGCAGCCATATAATCATAATTTTAACATGTCTAAGCAACATACATAGCATGAAACTGTTAAGTATTAAGGACGTGGAGAATCAGATTTCTAATACAGATATATACATATGAGAATCCATTCTGTAATATTTTTATTGAAAGATAGCTGGCATTTCTAGCTTGAGGATTCTTTATTAATTAGCAGTAATTCTAGGAGGATCTTAATGCATGTGACGGACTCGACGCGGACTATCTGGTACTGTTGCCTCCTTGAAAATACTTCTGAATTTTATTGTGGGAAGGGGGGTTGGAGTTTCCTTAAAGGCTGGAGTAAATTTAAAGTAATGAACTGAACTAGAAAATAAACGTCTTAGACTCGCCAAAGGAATTTAATTTGATTTTAATATTTGCACAGTGATAACTGGCTGCTTTATTATGGAATTGTGCCTTGTTAGAGGTGAGCTGGTTGTGGGAGACTGACAGAAGGAAACTAAGGTAGACACTTTACAAAAACTTTTGTATAATGGTTATAATAATACTCAGTCATCAGTTGTAATTTTGCTTGCTTTTTAAGAAGGCTTAATTAAACCACTTTTCAGGAGTTCCTAATATGTTTAAAATACAATTCTGATAGTTGAAGAGGCAAGAATTTCACTGGAAATATAGAACACTTTTTTGATAGGTGTCTGGTAGTCTTTTGGTCATGTTAATTTGTAACTTCATTCATTTCAGCTTTCCATATGAAGTGACTCTTAATCACTAGTTTCCAGTGAGAAATGATTAAGCTAATAAGTTACTTTTTGTTATTAAGTATATGTGTGTTTCAGAGTCCAATATTTGCTCCAGGTGGTGGACCAAAGGCCCACCTGACCTGGCAAGGTCCCCTGAGCAGGGAAGGTGATGGTTCAGTTTTCCGAAACTTAGTTATCAAGTATGGTACAGTTGAGCCACTGTTGGCTCTTGCAGATACCTCATCTTTAGCATGTGGTTACTTGCATAACCTTACCTGGACACTTCCAAATCTTTTGTCCCAACAAGAATCTTTCCACAACCCCCTTAGATTCTGTTGAGCTGATTCTTCCTGCTTTAGTTGTCTCTTGCATCAAGATGATCCAGAAGTATTAGCAGATACCTGCCGGCCATTTCATATCAGACCCATGGTCCAAATGAATGAATTGAAATGGTTGTGAAAATGTTCCCCAATTTGTGAAGCTTCTTGGAGCTACTGAATTACCATTTGTGACTCCTGCATTAAGAGTCGTAGGAAATATTGTCACTGGGACAGATGAATGTAATAGATGCAGGAACACTTGCTGTCTTTCCCAGCTTGGTAACCAACTCCAGAACTAATATTCAAAAGGAAGCTACGTGGACAATGTCAAATGTCAAAGTCGGCCATCAGGACCAGATGCAGCAAGTTGTGAATCATGGATTAGTACCATTTCTTGTTGGCCTTCTCTCTAAGGCAGACTTTAAAACACAAAAGGAAGCTATGTGTGTTGTTACCAACTAACAAGTGGTGGAACAGTTGAATGAACAGATTGTATGTCGTGTTCATTGTGGCATAATAGAATAATTGATGAACCTCTTAAATGCAAAAGATACAAAAATTATTCTGGTTATTCTGGATGCTGTTTCAAATATCTTCCAGGCTCCTGAGAAATTAGGTGAAACTGAGAAACTTAGCATAATGATTGAAGAATGTGAAGATTTGGATAAAATTGAGGCCCTACAAAACCATAAAAAAGAGTCTGTGTACAAAGCTTTATTAAGCTTGATTGAGAAGTATTTCTCTGTAGAGGAAGAGGAAGATCAAAATGTGCCAGAAATGACCTCTGAAGGCTATACATTCCATGTGCAGGATGGCACTCCTGGGAACTTTAACTTTTAGATTGTACAGCTGAAGCATGAAGTTGTTATGTATTGTGTTTGGTATAAGTTTGTCTTACTGTTTCTCTACTAAGAACTTGTTAAATGTGGTTTGTTATTGTAGCACTTTTTACAACAAAACTATACTTGAATAGTTCCAAACTGCACATACTGTATGAAGCTTCTTCTCTCAATTGATTTCCTATTTCTGTGTGGAATTTTCATAACTTCCAGTGACCTGTAAGTAAAGATCAAGCTCCAAGCTTTATTTTGCCATGCATACGTGTTGCTTTCTAGTGTGGTGCACTTAAGGTTTCACTAAATCCTTGTGACTAAAGGAGGCAGTCCTGATGGCAGACACTGTTTGACATACAGCTTGTGATGTCATCAAGGATCCAGGGGTAATAAATAACTTCTTTCCTGCTCTGTTTAAAAAAAAACCCAACTCTGGATTAAATAGTTTATTTATTAATCAACTTATTTCTAGTGAGAACCCTAAAAATAGCTTTAGGATTTTTACTTGATCATTGCCTTGTCTTTCACTTTCAAAGCAAGTTAAAAATAGGCTTTGTTATCAGAAGGATATTTGATGAGCTTGAAAATAGAATTAGCAAGAAAAGTCAGTTAAAAGATCTGAATATTTGGTGGTATCAGGCCCTGATGGCATGATGCATGCATGTTCTTAGGCAGTATCTCCAAGAGAGTTGAACCTGCCAGAGTCCTCTTTTAAGCCATTTGAAATCAATTTTTTTACTTGAATTTGCTATAACTCATTTGGGCAAGTTGAAGGAAGTTAACTGAGTTATGTCTTTACTTTTGTATCTTGCTGAGCCATGAAACTTATATTTCATTCCTGGGAGTGGGGAAGCAAGCAACATACAAAACCAGAGGCAAGACAGGGAATAGGTAAGATAGAGGGACCATTTGGTTGGTGGTGAGTGGTAATTGGACATGTGGTGGTTGACTTGGTGTGATGTTCAGTTGCTGGTGTGAGAAGCTGTATGCCTGAAACCTACACACCAACTTTGGAAAAGAATTAAATTGGGGAGGGGTAAATAGAATTTACATCATTTGAAGGCAGGTGCTAAATTTGGAAAGAAAGTTTTAGAGGTGTAGGTGGAATCACGAAACTGTCACCATTATCTGATTTTGCTGTGGTTGTGCTTCTATTTTTATCCTGTAGATTGGTTCTTCAGAGACATCTAAGATTACAGTACGTGTTTTAATTTTCAATAAATGTAGGATGAGAGAAAATGAGTTCATAAATTTTCTTTACACTGCAGTTTCATTGTTGACTACTGCACGTTATTCACCATCTGTTTTTTGTTCTTCGTTTTTCCTGTCCAATACTTGAAATTATTCTGAGATTTAAAGAAAGGAACTTGTCAGTGTTTGAGAAAATGAAGTTTCGGTAATGGTCTTTTACCTTTAAAGTGGCCTGTGACTATGCCTGTGACCATTTTTTATTTTAAAGATTTATTTATTCATACAGAACTGGGGTACAGGCCAGAGATGCGGAGGGTGA